ATAACATCATGCTCTTAATAATTATCCGGAATCAAGACATCTGACAAATATTACATCATACTTTAATTAATTACTCAGAATGAAGCCATCCGACATATATAACATCATGCTCTTATTTATATATCGGAATCAAGACATTTGACCTATATTACATCATGCTCTTATTAATAACTAGGAATTAAGACATCTGACCTATATTTCATCATGCTCTAACTAATAACTCGGAATCAATAAATCTGACCCATATTACATCATGCTCATATTGATTACTTGGAATCAAGACATCTGACCTATAGTACATCATGCTCTTACTAATAACTAGGAATTAAGACATCCGACCTATATTTCATCAAGCTCTAACTAATAACTCGGAATCAATAAATCTGACCCATATTACATCATGATCATATTGATTACTCGGAATCAAGACATCTGACCTATTTACATCATGCTTTTATTAATAACTCGGAATCAAGACATCTCACATATATAATGTCATTTGAAACTGTTCATAAATAACTCAGAATCAAGACATCTGGCCTATTTTACATCGTGCTCTTTTTAATAACTCGGAATCAAGAAATCTTACCTATGTGATGTATTACATCATTTTATTGGTAACTCGGAATCAAGACATTTGACCTTTATGACATTGTGCTCTCATTAATAACTCGGAATCAAGACATCTGACCTTTATTACATCAAGCTCTTATTAACAACTCAAAATCAAGACATCTGACCTATATAAAATCATGTTCTTATTAATTAATCGGAATCAAGACATTTGACCTTTATAACATCAGGCTCTTATTAACAACTCGGAATCCAGACATTAGACCTTTATTACATCAAGCTTTTATTAATTACTCGGAATCAAGACATCTGATCTATAGAAAGCAAAAACATATCATTAAAGCAGGGAGAGATAACAGTCCGAGTTAGCTTACATTTAAAGAAAGTACAACTTATCAATAAGATGGTTTGATACTTTCTTAAGATGATATCGAAGTTTTAATAAGATTGCTTGAATTTTAAAATATAAAATGAGATTCTTAATTGGATCAATTACTATCCAAATGCAATATTACAGTATAAATAACATGGTTGAAAGGACGGAAGTTCGTAAAAGATCATGACCTTTAGAATGCAGAGTTCGGAATCATTCGTACCGTACAATTTCAATTAAGTGACTTTTATAGGGTCACATTTAGGAAGTGGGTTGACAGCCACAGGAGATGCATCGAGTTTAATGGGGAATACTTTAACATGTTGTGAAAACGTGTATGACGCTGTCAAAGTATGACGGTGACGTGGACGTCATGCGTTTACCGTGCGCCATTGCAGCTGTGATTGTTACTTGTTAATTGGAATTTGCTTTTTATATCATAATTAAATTTGTTTTACTGTCAGTAGAGAAATGATTGATGCAAAGAAGTTCGTAGTTTTTAGTGTTCTTTTGCAACCTACATGTTTCACCAAACACGACATAACAGGTTTTATTAAGTCGGTTGATATTTTAAGTTTATATCACAGTCTTTATTAGACCAGTTTAAATTTAAATACATTATGACTGTCCTAATTAGATCGATTGATACCTTTAGATGAATATACATTAGTATAGAATATGTTAAATCATTAACTGCATTTCTTCGCATGTTATCTGTCCAGTTGAAGCTTGATGTTTCGGGAAGAACTGAACAAATTTAGAATTTTCAGTGCTTAACTTAAATATGGTTATCTAGTACATAAAATATCCGTTGACTTTAGCAGACGAAAGGGTGCTATTTGCTTTAAATTATCATTTACCATATCTAATTTTACGGGAAATAGCGATGCCAAATTCGGCAAATAATATTTGGCAAAACATAGACGCAGACAAAACGTTTTCAACAGTTTTATTTTCTAGAATCCATAGATAATCGTCCCCACACAGCAATCATATACTGACATCAACAGTATTTTTTTCTAGATGTTTAATGAAGAAGCATGCAATATACAATTTATTTACAGTTTTCACACCATGAACAAAATAAAGTATATATTTGTCAAAACATTTGATATAGAACCATAAAATATATAATTGCTTTACAAGTTTCACATACTAACCATATACTATAAAAGTATATTTGTATCATAGTTTTGGGACCTTTCTGTTGAAAATGTATCAGAGTTAAATCTTATACATATACATGCACAGTGGGTTAACTGGAGTGCAGGTATTAGTTACCCGCACTCCAGAGCATGCCCATTGATTTGCTCATTTTTACTGGGGTTTACTTATTGTGTCGGCAGAGAAAGGGAAAGCGACAGAAATTTCATATTCAGATGCTCGTTCATTGCTTATTGTTTTCTGGTATTTTATATTGTGACCACAGGGAACTTGTTTTTATGTTTGACGATGATATAAAAGAGAAAGAACATCAAAACACTCGGCACTCTGATTTATACTCGGGGGCTACGCCCCCTCGTACAAATCAAATGGCCTCGAGTTTCGATGCTCTTTCTATTACATATTTCTATGCATGTAATTCAGAAGCATATATAATATACAATTGTTTCACAGATTTCACACAACAATTATTCAATGTGAAAGTATGTATTTGTTTAGGTATTTAACATAGGAGCATAAAATATAGTGACAATTGTTTTACAGTTTTTTACACAATAATTTTACATGATGAACGATGAAAGTTTATATTTGTCAGCACATTTGATGTAGAACCATACATAATACAATTATTTAACATGAAATTATATATTTTTCAGCACATTTGATGTAGAAACATATATACAAGAGCTGTCGGTAGGACAGCAACGCTCGGCAATTTTAAGTGTTTGATAGCAAAGGAGTCTTGATAATTTAAAGTTTCGAAAATAGCTATTCTTTACAAATCCATGTTATAGGCCGTGGAGAGAGTCCTTTTATGCTCACAAAAAAGTGTATACAATTTCAACTTGTTTCAAAGCAAGGTGTCAATGCAATATGAAAATATTTGAGGTGGTACGCAAACTTAAATGTAAATTCTAAGTTGAAAAAGGAGTATAATTATGTCAAAATGCTTGATACAGTTGCCTCCTCCTGTATACAGGTTAGGTTATGATGGTGAACAAGTGTGCAAAGTTGCAAAGCCATATATAAATGGACTTTGCAAATAATTTAAGTATTACAAAAACTTTAAAATAAGTAGTTACGCCGACGCCAATGATCGGGTGACTACTATAGCTCAACTTAATCTTTTCGAATAGTCGAGATAATAGTACAATTGTTTTACATTTTTTACACAACAACCATTTAATATGAAAGTATATAAATGTATTGATCTAGGCGATTAATATAGAACCATACAATATAGAATTGATTTTACAATTTCCACATCCCAATCATAAACGATAAAAATATATATAAGATATAAACGATATAACCATACAGAATACAATAAAATATGTGTAAATATGCAACGATACGTGTAATGGACTGGTGAATGATAATACACAATATCAAATCTGCTTGTATTAGTGAATGTACTACTTTTTGTCAAATGTCTAATTACAATCATAGTTTAAAATCTGAAAGGATGACCTTACTTTTTCAGAATTTCAGGTCTACTTCACATGAATAAGACGCTTTGATCTGATATTAAGGGATTTCCCTTTGCCTATTTATAGCCGATGTTGTACCATATTTCCAATTGACTATAGTATATTATTTTTCTAATCCACAAGACAGAATTTCCATTTCAAAGTTCCAAAATAAAAATAATTAATACGAAGTTCTTAAAAAATTAAAATAAGGGGCTCTTCAATGTGATGGTGCTAAAACGTATGAAGATATCATCCTTGACAGTTATTGTTTGAATAAATTTAATCACTCCAAAAGTCATGCATTTTTCCATATATTTAATAACATCGCTCAAGTTCCCAATTCCATGGGTGTGGGTCATGTTCCTAAAATCCTAGAATAAAACACTGGATATTATCCCCTACTAATAGTATAGAGGTATAATGAAAATTAACTATTTTTATTGTTCTCATAAAAAGTAAATTTAGAAATTGACTATGTTTTTTATTTCATTTTTTTTTGAGAGGGGGGGGGGGTACAGGGAATGGAGGGAGGGGGTAGCATGAACGGATACTATCAGATCCAAGCGTCTTATCCCCGTGGTTTCCATCGGGCTACTTAACATCTTGTGTAACTTTGACACTATTTAAATGGACTGTAGATTAAGAAACTGCCTGTATACTAGTAACTGTTTTGGCCTAGCTTTTTTGGTCAGGCCCCTTGTTCACAAAGAAAAGATCCTAATTTTCTTTTCATTGATTTATAAAACTTAAACTGATCGAATTATGCTAGGCTTTTTTAAAATTAATCACTTGTACAGTAGCGTATTTTTTGTTTATTAACAAAACATATTTATTGTAGGAAACACAAAGAAAATTGTGTTGAATATAAAATTCTGGTTATAAAAATTCTACCTGAACAAAATATACATTTAAACAAACACAAAAAGTTTGATTTAAAAAAAATGTTGTTTTTTTTATTTCGTTTTGTAACGTGATTACCTGCTGAAAAAAAGTTAAATAATATTGTCGAAAAGGATACTATTTCATTAGATTATATGATGTCACGTTATTTTATGATGTAACATAGTTATATCCGGTGACGAAATTTAAAGTTGAAACGTGATAATATGCTGTCACGTGATAATATGCTGTCACGTGGCAATATGCTATCTGTGATATTTAGTCACCAATATGGTAACTGAAAATAGCTGAAAATGTAAGTAATTCTACAGCATACGTCAATCATAGATAAAACTTTTATTAAACCATGTCTGATACAAAAAAAAACTGATAATTATTAAAATGTTCTTTTGAGTACGATCATTCTGAATATTTGAAATCTTCTTCTGATTACTTCTCTTATTTTCTTCTTATCATCATTGATGACGTTCTCAATGACAAAAAGTCATCAAAGTTATAATATATGTGTCCACACCAACCTCTGGTGGCATTTGTAACATCACATACCGTGCCTGGCGTCGCATAATATCCATTTAGATTGACAGTAGTACAAAATGAATGATACCACCAGGCTCCATGGTCCGTCTCGGCGCAGTTGTAAGTCGTAGTATTGAAATCACGGTCGTAGGTTGCAAATGGCATTTCATTATTAGAACCAAAGACAGTGGTCATGTCTAGGGATAAAAAGACAATATTAATTAGTTCTAGCACTGTTATTGTCACATTACGTCAAGACATTTTGCATTTTTACAAGCCTAAATTTCAAAAACAACGAGTTACTATCCCCACAATAATACAAAACACATCATCCGGTTCATCGTAAATGTTATATATATCTGTTATATATTATGGCAAAGCAGGTCAGTAGAACCACAAATATTTGCCATTTAATTTGTTGGTTTTCTAAACCAGTCAGTGGGAAACTTTGCTCTATCAAAGACCAGGTTAATTAGTCTGCGACTGAATATAGAACGTTATGATAAGTGTTATATTGTGCATATTTACTGCTTTCTTCACAAATAAATTGAAATTACCATAATTATTATGTATAAACGAACACCCAAAGACAATCTCTTAATTGACAGAATAGCAAAATTTAATATTTTATATCAAGCAAAATATAGCAACATTAAAAATTCAGACATGAATTGGTTCTGCTATAAATAAGATAGGAATTGCCAATCTGATTATTATACTATTCTTTTGTTATTGTAATATTGTCGTCTTTTATTTGTTTAAAACATGTATAATTTTAAGAAACAGTACGCCAAAGAAACGAATAAATAAGAAAAGCATAATGGTTTCAAAGCATGTTAGATGATTGTAATGTCGATAAATGTGAAATTATTTGTCATAGACGTAGTGACATAAAATAAACAAGGTAATATGCTGACTTCAATACAAAATAATAAACCACTTTATCTGTTCTTATTGCCAAAAAAACCAACAGATTGAACAGATGTTCAGGCAATCAGCTAATGACACGTGTTCTAGAAATAAAAATATTTTGAGGAAAAAAGCATTTTCAAGGCATAATTTGCCTTTATAACTGTTTAATCTATATTACATTACAAATCAAATAGTCGTGAGAGATTCTGTTTGCTAGCCTTAATTTTTCTATGAGAAATTGAATTTGTTTTTGTCTCATACTGTAACTGCTGTCAACCGCTTACATTTTATATTGGTTTTAGGGCAGTTGTGCTTTCATTTAGCTAATCAAATAAAAAGTAAATGATCAAAATATAATAAAGGAAAAAAAGAAATGTTATATCAGCATAAATATCTTACTCTTGAATCCAACTGGTATGCAAGGCCCAATATTTAGAGTATAATTTGTTCCTTCTGTTAACATAAAGTCTGGACAAGTTTCATGACCTGTTGTTCCATCGCTTCTTGTCATGTCAAGACGAATCTCTGTAGAACCTTGTTCAGCTAGTTCTTGTATATCAATTAAACCTGCGTAAATATATCAAATGTAAATATATATATTCAGAACTTTACCAAGATATTAAGTCGAATTCCAGTCTTCAACATTTCATAATACACAATTACAAATATTTACAATTATAGTAAAATTGCATTCTATTTATAGACGTTAAAACTACTTATGTCTATCAATTTACTTCAACAACTTATGCTTATCAATACACTTCAAAAAATTAATATGTTTATAAACTAAATATGTTTAACAACTTATTATGTTTTAGATTATCAATACACTTCAACAACTTAATATGTGTATTTACACACTTCAACAACTTAATTTGTTTATCGATACACTTCAAAAAAGTTTATCAAAATACTTCAACAACATATGTCTATCAATAGACTTCAACAACTTAATATCTTTATCAATACAATTCAACAACTAAAATAAGTGATGCATTACGGTCATTAAGAAATATGTGTATTCGCTAATCAAACTATTTGTTTACTGTAAGCAAAATATTTGTTCAATCGTAACGAAACCCATCTTCATGTCACGCTAGCAACAAATGCAAAGTGTTTTATTTAATTGCGGTGATGTACTGTACCTTAAGTGACTACGCAATAACTTTACTACATTTGTTTTAAAATGCCAATGATACAAGGAATAAAATATTTTTTCATACCTATCCATAGCTCTCCATCAACGTTCCCAAAACCATTCTCATACTCTGTAAGGTTGCGATAAAAGTCCACTGACCCGTCTATTCGCCTATGAAATAGCTAGAATAAACGCAAACAGGTTGAACGCTTACGATGTATATATGTATTACTCAAAATTATACTAAGTGTGTTTGTCTGTTTAACGTCAGGTTATATGTCATTTCAAATGGACAGGTCCTGAATCTTTAATTTGCTGTTAGAAAAAGACCTTTTGTACTTCTTATCATTGACCTGACCTATTACAATTGACTCATTTACTTTGTCAATACGTCGTTGTACACTTTATTACATGCTTTTCTGTAGATACTGAAATAATTTCACAGTGAAATGATAAAATATAATTTACCAAGCAGCCAGACTATAATTGATTGCGGCTGAAAGGAATGCATCATATGTTAGTGTGGAAATATATTCTGTCGGAAATGTAGTTATACGAGAAATAAAACAAACAAATATACTCTGTTTAATTTTACATCAAAAGAATGCCTCAAAATTGGAATAAATGCAATTTGATATTGACGTCTATTTGGCACTATTTGACTGGTTATTCACGATGAACAAAAATATCACATCATGAGCTAAATGAGTGTTATCATTTGAATGTGAACTAGGAAGAACAATTTCCTAATCAAACATTGGATTTTAAGAATCTATATACCGTCCAACCACCTCCTTCGGTTTCCATGTCACAATTCACGGTCAGAATCTTCCCAGATTTCCATAGTTCTATCTCATATTGTCCACTTTCCGCCTCAGGATCCTTATCAAGGATTTCTTTACAATCACTTGGTACTAGGCAAAGATCAAAACAGTATTTGTAACAAGAATGAATGATTCATGCAAGTGTTTTTACAATTTATTCCATGAATTGTGTAAATAAAAACATCAAAAGTGACGGTTGTTTATTTTACACATTTGTCATAATGTTTATACATTGTTGGTAAATCTTACCATACCTATGGTCTTTTTATGACGCATAAGATAGTTCTTGTAATATCGACCTCGGCACAAAAGTCAAATTGCAAGGGAGGTGAAGTCATTCTTATTTTCTATGGCAGGTATTGCGACATTGCCATTTTTCTATACCCATATTCCTTTTATGTGCAATGCATGATGCAAATTTGTTTCCAAACTTTACATGTAAGTTATAAAAAAATTGAAGGTAGGGTATTTAGTAGGCAAAAACCAAGAAATTGCTTAAAATTGAAGAAAATTAAGCTGTTATTTAAGATTTTTTAGCTCACCTCTGAATAATTATGTCATCAAAGACTATCATTTCATTTCGAAACGATTATTAAAACAATTTCATAAGAAATTAATAATTAAGCAATATATATGCTTAAATAAGCCAAATAGGGAAGAAAGTTATCAATTTATATTGCTAATTTATTTTGTACAGTAATTATAATTATAATATTCTAAAAAATAATATACCGTTTGTAAGATCCTGTATTAATTCTAAAGAAATCATAGTGGCAATATACCTGTCTGTTTTCTTTTTTTCATTTTCAACCATTGGGAAAAATAACAAAATCAATAGCTTAAATTAAATAAAAAAATAATTGTCAAAAGACATCATCCAATATATCCTCCATTTTTCGGTTTATATTAAGAACAATTAGATAATAAAATATCAATTTATTTGCTTAAGCATTTCAAGTTCCAAAGTAAATGTTTTGAAAGACGATCTCGCCAGTAAGACAACTTTTATTCTGCCGTCATGGCTAATTTAGATGAAATATTAAGACAAGATAAAAAAACAGCAAAATTTAAATACGTTACATTTTTCTTTCGTGCACGTTGCAGACTGCCATTTTCCTGAAGCCTCACATTTCACCTCTTGTTGGAAATAATAATAATAATAATAATAATAATAATAATAATAATATGGTATTATCTGAACAATAGTTAATACTTCACAAGGGCCTATTTCAGAAGGATCAATATAGCGATCTTTGTACAAATCGTGATCAAGTATCCTAAGTTATATCTATGTGAACATAGTTTCTTGCTGGCAAAAGTGTTAAATGTACAATGAGTTTAACGCTGTCTATTCTGCTTTTGCTTCCTTTTGTTAGAAATCAAATGTTACTTTTTTATATTAATACGCAAACGTAGGGCAAATTTAACAAGTATCCTCGGTCTAGCGTAGAACATAGTTTTGCAGATGTCATCAAAGACAATACTGGTTAGGACATGAAATTTATCAAACAAAAAATATTGCGAAAATATTTCTTAAAAAACTATACACAACATTCAATCAAATAGCAAATAAAATACGAAAAAATAAAGTTTTACGAGCATATGTCTTTGCATACATTAAATTATTGATTTGAAAGAAAAAAACGACGGATAAAGCAAAATGAACGTCGCCGTATCCACAACACTTCATATTTAAAGTCTGGCCTGCTTCAAGTTGCAAGCTCGCTATAACTTTTGTTTTACCGAATAGTACTGCTAGCAATATACCAAATGAAGCGGGAAATTGTGGAGGATTCCAATACATGTACATGAATCTGGTTTTCAATCATTTCAAACAAAAAGAGTTAGAAACAAAAGTATATATTTTTCATTCAAAGATGGTCACGTTAGTATAAAATTGTAGGATTCGACACAGCTCTAAATGTAAGAGTAGAGATAAAACACCTTTTGATCGTGCAACAACATCTGCAGTTGCCCTAGGACTTTTTAAGTCACTCCCCCTAAGATCTCGGGCTTTAAATGCCTATTCGTGCTATTGCAGAAAAAAGATGTACGTAAAATTTGCGTACGGCATGACTATATGAACGGAGAAGAAAACATGCATTTACGGAAAGATTCACGAAACCACGCACATGTGTTGCTTATCTTTAATATGCGTGACTCGGGGTGCAATATTGTAACAGCAAATTGCAACTGTCGTCCCAATAAACATGATTAATGCGTAAAACATTAGTAAATTTGTAAACGATATTTGATATTTACCTAACACATAACCAATATACTCATCTTCCGTCACCATATTTTCCTTTGATGTCGTATTACATCCAACACATTTCATTTCCGACGGTTTGTAGAATGCAACAACGCACGTACCATAGAGCGAACACTGAAGTGCGCATTGAATATTGCTCAGTACACTAAGTGCACTGAAAACAGTGTCGAACTCATTGCACGTTAACCCGCCTAATGTTTCATTTTTCTTAAAACTGCTGAATTCAGCAGAGTAAAGAAGGCAGCCCGAAATGCCCAGAGCAAATACGAAAAGGATATTAGCTGACGCCCTGTTGCTCATGATTCGGCAACTTCAAAGATACAGAAGTCCGCGTCAGTTATAAGAAAATATATTTCGTTATATATTGTCACTGCGCATGCGCATACTATGTTTGGCGACAGTTCACCTCTCACTCGGGCATTTGTTGTGGCGCCATCTCACAGTTGTTCAACTGCGCATGATGACTCTGTATGTTAATTATGGTTAATTTAGGCATCAATAATTCAAACATGTACTTTTTGTCTATCATTTTAATTGAAGTAGTTCATCATATATTTTGAGTTAATTAAATGTTTGTTTATTCATTACAAAGGTTTATTTTGTTTGAAACGCCTGACTGACAAAATGCCTCCAGCTGTCCCAGACGAGATATATTCAAATTAAAATTAGTCAGTATCCTTATGTTGGTATGATAGGAATTAAAGCTAATAATTATCAATGGTTGCTCTAATGAAAAATAAATTGATTGAATGTTCTTGAAAAAATGCCCTACTAATTACAATAATAATAACTGTTCTAATGTATAAAAAATAATTTTGTTAAGGATGAAAAAAAAAACCAACAAGAATAACCGGGCAGATTCCACTGGGTTAAAATTGCATACAGATTGACAAAAAAGTTCGAATATTGTATAAAAAACGCGAAAATCCTACAAATTGTGTTTTAAATACACTCTAAAGATTTCGAACCCTAATGAATCGGTACAATTCGCATGATGTTAGAGAAGATCGTTATAACCCCAAAATAGCTAGGCAGTCATACGGCATATTTTCTAACTGACGAGTTTAAAAATTGTTTGAATAAGAGGCTAAATTTTTTTTTTTTTTGCACGTCGACAACGACAACGCTCACGATGACGCAGTGATAAAAAAAATCAAGACTCTGTCTTCGAAACAGACAAGCTTAAAATAAAAGTGTCGTTTAATTATCAGTCTGTCGCAGTATTAAGTTGATAACAAGATATTTTTATTCGATCATGTTGAAAGTTATATGCTTATTGAAACACAATCGAATCTGTTCTTTGAACCAACTGTTACATGTACTTAACAGCGGCTTGTCCCATGGTTTAAACCCTCAAGGTCAGCAATCTTTAGATTACCGGAGCGTTAACCACTCGGCCAGGTCGCCATATTTACAATAATGCGAAGAGACTTTAATCAAATCTTTTTTTAAGCAATATAAAGGGATTTTTTATGTTATAAAGATCATTTACAATAATGCCAAATCTTGTATATTTGTAAATGGCGATACATCGGACTTTTTTCATGTAATATCGGCATGAGAGAAAGGGAAATGTATCTACCTTATTTTCTTTCATTATGCTTTAATTATCTGCATGATTTATGATAGATATTAATTTCTTACATGGTGTTAGATCTGACAGATATACTTTAGATAACAATGTTTAAAGTGTTGTTGAATTTATTGTTTTATTACACAAATAATGTAGACGACACAGTTATTCTATTTCAATCAGATTTACAAGTAGCTTTAAATGACTATGTGTATAAAAAATAGTCCGTAGAAACATACAGTTATCAAAACAGATTAATGAGACAAAGATGTACCATGCTTATTTTTTCCAGAGTGTTTTTAGAAACTTCATATTTCTATAACATCCAAAAAGGCACCGAAAAACAAACAACTATAGTAATGCATTATCTATACTTAAATATCCTGTATGTTAATTAAAGATGTGACAACAATAAAGCAAAATTTTATATGTATATTATTTTCTTCTAAAACAATTTCAAAACCTTCAAGAATATATAAAATATGTACTGCAAATGTTTATACGCATAATAAGTAATCATTAAAATGTATGCAATCATTTCTTATTGAAATATTTGACTCACAATTTATCGAACATTTAATAACATCTTTACAAAAACTGCTTTTTGGAACTATCATTATTGATAAATCTTAATTTTAGCATCATGTTTCTTATATAAAACAATACAAAATGAGTTACAGGATCTTTAAGAAAGAAATTAATTCTTTTTACCTATTATTATTCCAATTTATTCCATATAACTATAAAACCAATATCATTACTATGCCGCTGTTCAAAATGGGAATACGGGGGCCCCTAAATTTGTGTAGTGTAGTGTATGTTTAATTATGATGCAATCTCAGAGTTTAAAACATGAGTTGTACTTATTATTCAACGAAAATTGTCTAGTTTATGTGTTATATCTATATTCATTCCTCTATTTGTAATTTTGTATTATGTATTAATGTTTTCCACATTATATCATGTTTACCATGAAATAAGTAAATATAAAGAATAATTAAAACAACATAGAACATAGAATGTTAAAGTGAAAACAAATTGGTTAGTAAGTAAGTACATGTAACGACTTTAATGAGGCTGGCACATTCGGTTTGACGATCTTCCATGTGGGCCTCAGCATGTACATACAATGTAACATAACAGCATATGCATACAATGTAACATAAAAAGGTCTTGTTGATTATAGTGTCACCCCTACTGAAAGGGCCTGCCATTTCTGACTTATGAGACACCTTTGCTAGCATACCATGTACCTCCCATCTCCTTCCACTATGCCAGGCGCCAGGCGGATAGAAATTTGTAACCTTTCATTTTAACTACTTCGCGGCTCACAAAGCGGCCATTTCGAATGAGTCAAACGACAACATTCATCTTTCAATTAACGCTCCCCGGTGGGGCTCGAACCTTTGACCTCCCGATCCAAAGGCGAACGCCTTAACCACTAGGCCAACGGTACCGGAAAATTATATACAGTCAATATTTACAAAACCTAATTCAAGAAATAAAATGTTAATGTTTACACTTTGTGGCATTTTTAAAAAATTTAATATTGAAAATTACAAGCAAAGTAGAAAATAAATAAAAATACATCTTATGTTAATAGATAATACAGTAAACTGTTATAAAAGTTATAGTCATATTGGCATCATATTCAGAAAACTATGTACACAATAAAAATGGGAAATTGATATACATAATTTAAATGGAAAATTGCCAATGAATACAGTTGGGTTAAAAAAACTTTTAAAGTCAGTTTTTCTAACAGGTATTGGAATGTCATTCCATATTGTAGGCCCAGAGTAATTGATTGCTTAGGTACAATTAATTAAGTTTTTCATTTTGGATAGATCTCAAATTAAAGTTGTGTCTGTCTGTTATTATTTGAAATGTATTTTTCATAAACTTAGCAAAGGGTGGTTCATTAATTGACTTATACATTAGAATTGTCTTTGGTATCGGAATGTTTGGTCAAAGGACATCCAATTTCGTTCTTTAAAAAGTTCGTTTGACGGGGCTCTAAACTTTCTGTCCAATTTTTGTTCTAGCAGCTCTCTTTATGAAATTTGATTACTTGTGAGAGTAAATCACTGCTCCAGTTTCCCAAAAGAGTGAAGCAGTAGTCCAAATGTGGCAGTATATATGCATTGAAAAAAATATTATTTTAAGCATGAAGATTAAGATTCTAAGAAACAAATATAGCTGTGAATTGCATTTTTCAATAAACAGTATTTCCAGTTAAGGTTCCAGAAATGTCATCTGCAAACAAATCAGTATTTGACTTTTTATATTAAGATGTATGTCATTAATGTAAATTATGAATAATACGGGCCCTAGACTGTGCCCTGGGGTACTCTAAAGACAACTTCAGCAGATTCTGACAAAACACCAGACACATTTACTTTTTGTGACCCGTCTGACAGAAATGATGTAATCCAGGTAATAGTGTGTAAAGAAAGGATATAGATGGGTAGTTTTTCAAGAATAATTTTGTGATTATCTATTTTAAAGGCCTCAGATATAGCCAGAAAAACAGTTCATCATAAAGCGCATTTATCCGATTATCAATTAAATTTGTAAGTAATGTTTCACATAAATGGTATGCCCTGAAACCTGATTGAGCTGTGTATAGGAAATTGTTTTTTCTAGAAAGAGCTTCAAGTTGTCAGAAACATGTTTTTCAAATATTTTTGAGAGAAGTTGGAGTACTGAAATTGGTATATAGTTGTTTTTTGTCAGATTTGAGTCCTTTCTTGTACATTACACATTTGATTGTTTGAACTGTGTAGAAAACATTCCATTTTTAATACTTAAGTTTATTATGGTACAAAGGGGTTTGTATATGACACTTGTTGACGCTTTAGAAATTTTGAACTAATGCCATCTAAGCCTGTTGCTTTCGTAATATCAAGACTGTTCACTTTTTGTTTCTCATAACTAATTTCAACATAGGGGATTTCAAATTTCTTTGTTTGATTTGCGCTTTCAGATGTAAAAGATTTTTGAAGAGCAACATTCATTTCATGAGATAGCTCAGTTATATTTTCAGTTTTTTTAAAGACATTTGCAAAAGAAGGTGTTAAATGATTCTGCCGTTTACTTTTTATCAGTTATTGACAAACCATTTTCATCATTTATATAGAATGTCTGTTAAACATCTGTTTTTCCTGATAGGCTTTTCAAGTTTTTGAGGTTAAGGATTTTCCTTATTTGAATTAATTTCATGATTTAAAAATTTTGTGTTTGCTATATGGATGAGTTTTTTACTTGTGGCTTCCAGAACTTGAAGTCATCAACATTATGTTTCGTGTTTGCATAGTCCCTATTGTGTATTGCATATAATTTAGCTATATATTCATTGAACCAATCAGCTTGATTTTTATGTTCAACTCTTTTTATTGTAAGGAGCATGTATGTTAAGAGTTTATAGAAATAACTTGTTAAAAGTGTCTAAAGGATCATCTGGATCATTAAACATATCAATAAGGGACCATCGTTATTTCGACAGATCATTCAGGAATGTATCAGCATTAAATTTCTGTAAGTACCTGTAAGTGATTATATCATAGTGGACCCTTTTTAACATTTGTATTAGTTCGTCTAGTAACATTATTTGAAAATGATCACTTATTGATAGTACATGGACTGTAGTGTATGAGATATTTTGTTGGTTGGTTTGCACCAAAATTGTAGTTAGGATCTCCAAAAAGAGAAACTTCTTTGCCTTCAG